GCGGCGAGGTCGGGGGCTGCACGGTGAGCTACAGCTGAGGGGCTGGGGCCGGGACCCGAGAAAAGTGAGGTTTAGGAGGTCTGCAGCGCGGCCAGGCTCGGGCTAGGACTTAGCGGATCCAGGCCGACTCCGGGGTTCAGAGTTGGGACCTAAGCATGTGGAGTCGGCGCGCGCCTGGGGAGCGGGGCTAGCATTGGGCCGGGGCTGGGAGCCGGCCTTTTAGGAATTGGGCTGGAGACCCCCTCCTCGGGAGGATCCCGCGCGGAGTTGTGAGGGCGGATCCTGGGAGGTGGAGCGTGGACTCGCCGAGGGGCTCTGCGAGCGGGGCTGGAGTTCAGGGGTCCTCGCAGACTACTTCGGAGCAGTGGGCTAAGGAGCAGAAAGGAGAGCGAGGGACCAGCGGACTGGATTCTGGGCAAGGAGCTTAGGTTAAGAGGAACCCTTAACCCCGAGACAATGGGCGGGACTGGAGGCGGGCAGATCGCTCGTGGGTGGGGCCCGAGGCGGCCTGTCCCTGCCACCAACCCTCACGCCCCGCCTCTGGGTAGTTATTTGTTTATCCAAGAGCCCTGGCGCCCGCGCTTGCCCTATGTTCGTAAAATCGCAACCTAAAAAATGAAGGCCGACCGCCCTCGAGGACACAAAGACACGCACAGGGTTATAGACAGACTTAGAGTCACATAGATGTCAATACACAGATCCTCACAGACCCTGTCACACACAAAGATCCAGTCACAGCCACACACACACACACACACACACACACGCATACACACACAGGCGCGCGCGTGCGCGCACACACACATACACACACACACATACACATACATCACAGTGTTATCTACACACAATGCTGGTACCTTTCAAGAGACTGGATTTCGGACCCAGGGAAGGAAGTGGACTGAGTGTTCAAGCCCAACTCTTGCTTCTCAAATGGCCTAGAACAGGCTCTGGGCTGGTGCCCAGCCTCCTCTCCTCTGTGTAAGAACCAAAAGGACCCTAAAAGCAGGAAACGGAAGCCAGGAGCAAAGTTGGATCCTGCTGGAATCACACAGGAAGGCAGGCTGAGCCAGGATGGAGCCCCAGCCTCCTTCCCCTCCAAGCTGGGTTCCGGGCTCAGGGCCTCCACTTTGTGCTCGCAGACGTGGTGGTGCTGGAGGTGAGCAGCTCCCTGGCACAGCCTTCCCTGTTCTACCATCTTGGGGTGCGTGAGAGCTTCAGCATGACCAACAACGTGCTTCTCTGCTCCCAAGAAGACATCCCTGACCTGCAGGCCCTGCGGGTAGGTGGCCAGGTGGCTGGTGGGGGCAGGCACAGGGCGGGGGTAGGGCCTACCCAGAACATCAGTATTTGTCTGTTCTCTGCAGGAGGACATTTTTCAGAAGAACTCAGTGAGCAGAATCCACCCCTCACTCCAATGTGCCCTCTGACTTCCATTATAACCTCTGACCCATCACTACCTTTCCTGGCCTCCTCCATCACCTAATCTCCCCAATACCCCTCAATGTCTGTGTGACTCTGCTCCCGATTGCCTTCCTTCCTGCAGTGTGTCCCTTTCCTGCTATTCCAGTTTCCACTGGTGCTGACCTCTGACCCCCTCACTGCCCCTCCCTAACCTGGTGCTGAACTCTGATCTCTACTGATTCCTGACTCCCTCCCACCAGGATTGTGTTGGCAGCTACACACTGATCCCCTATGTGGTGACAGCCACTGGTCGAGTGCTGTGTGGTGACGTAGGCCTCCTGAGGGGCCTGGCTGATGGGCTAGTCCAGCCCGGGGTGGGCACTGAGGCCCTGCTCACACCCCTGGTGGGCCGGTTTGCCCGCCTGCTGGAGGCCATGCCCACGGACTCTTGGTAAGGGGGACCCAGAGAAGGTGCACCAGGAGGAGGCTGGAGAGGGTACAGTGACCTGGACAGGCCCACCATCCCCTTTCCCTCCATCCCTCTCCTGCTCCGGGCATCAGTGGCTATTTCCGGGAGACCATTCGGCAGGACATCCGGCAGGCCCGGGAGCGGTTCAGCGGGCAGCAGCTGCGGGAGGAGCTGGCTCGCCTGCAGCGGAGACTGGACAGCGTGGAGCTGCTGAGCCCTGACATCATCATGAACCTGCTGCTTTCCTACCGAGATGTGCAGGTGAGCTGAGAGGCAGTCGGGCACAGCATTCGGTGTCAGACAAACCCGAGCTCATCCTGGCTGATGTCTCTGAGCCTGTTTGTAGTGCAAATGATTGAGTCACTGTCTCCTGTGGCAGTTGTGAGGTTGGGGCACGCAATGGGTTCTCCGTGTAAGGGGTGGTGTCTGTACTACCTGCCAGGCCTGAGGGACAGGATGGGGGGTGGGAAGGTGGGGTGTCAGGGGTGGGAGGGGACCCCCAGCTCAAGGTTTTCCTCAGAGGCTGGGGCCGATGGGACCCACCAGAGGCCATTTAGTCAGTGTGTGCTGTTCCCTCCTGCAGGACTACTCAGCCATCATTGAGCTGGTGGAGACGCTGCAGGCCTTGCCCACCTGTGACGTGGCTGAGCAGCACAACGTCTGCTTCCACTATACATTTGCCCTCAACCGGTGAGTGGCAGAGCAGCGCTCGGTCATAGCCACGTGGGAACATGGGTCCCTGCTCTATGAGGTCATTGCTGTCTGAGATCAGTGCTGGTCAAGGAATTTGCTGACTAGGGTCACGCTGATGTCAGAGGGTCCTGTTGTTCCACTACTGCTGCCCAGGGTGCGGTGAGGTGGTGCC